TCTAATAGTTTTTTGTGAAATGAGGTGTAAGAAATTAAACTTTAACAATTTTAATTATCTATTTTTAGAAGGAAGTGTATGTGTATCTATGAGTGCACCTTCTTTTAAGTTTGTTTTTTTTTCTTAGATTGCTGGCACAATGGCTGGTGACAGGGAAAATGAATAAAACCTTCAATTCTGAATGTATCTAAATTGCATAATGATTTCTGAAAATATTTCTTAATTTTTTAATTTTTTAGAGAATTTTATCTGTTTTCACCCGTGTGCTTTCAGTGCACTTACATTTTTTCATGCTGAGTCTGCTACTGAAAAAAAAATGCTGATTTTTGTATTGCTAGGACTTCACCAATTTGTAGAACTCTGTTCATTACATAGCTTGTGAGGGGATAAAGCTTTTAAAGGTGGTTGAACTAAAACTTGATCCTCCAGCATTTGAGTAGTGGATCAATTGCTCAAGCAATTCCAGTATAAGGTGTGTGTAATTAGTTCCAGTATTTTCACCTGAATATCTGCTTTTTGGGGAGATATAAGTTTGAATCTAAATGTGTTCTGCAGGTTTAAAAATCTAAATGAATAATTTGTTACTTCTCCCTGGAAAACACAAATCATACATTTTTCTTAATGACTCCTGGTGCTACCTGAGCAATTTGTTGCAACCTTGTTTGAAGAACTGCCGTTCTTACCTAAAAAGGTCCTGTTTTCTAGTGATTTCACTACTGTCTTCACCCTTGAGCTGGTCAGAACTTCTCAATGATGTTGCAAACAGCTGCTTTCCACCAAGAGGCTGAATGTGTTTCAGTGGTGGATGAAGTGTTCCTTTGTAAACTGTTTGTCAGTGCTCTTGGAAATCTGTGAACAGAAAAGTTATTTACAGTGATAGTGTGATATTTTAAGTTTAATGCCAAAAGTATGATGGGTTCTAGTTTGAACATTTTATTTTTAAAAGGCTACTTTTGTCCCTGCACTTGGTAGAAATCTCTTCCAGTACAGCAACCACCTGCTCATGTAGCAGAGAAGTGCTGGTACTGTGCAAGAGAAGCTCTGAAAGGCACCAAAGGGATGGCTGGTGTGTTCACAGGCTCAGGCTGGCGCATGGGTGTGACACCAGGTTTGTCCCAGCTACCTGAGGGACTTGCATGTGACCTTCTGTACCCAGTAGCACAATAGGAGAGAATCTGCGTGTGCTGCATTTCTTGTCTATGGGAAGACAAAGTGGCACATTTAAGTCTATCTGTATAGACACACAAACTCCGAATTAATGAAATAGGGGTCAAAATTCACATAATTACTTTTCAGTCCAAAACGACAATTTAGAAGGTCATGGCATAAGCAAAATTGCAGGATTTCCAGTGAAGCCCTTTCAAAGTTTTGGGGAACAGCTCCTTTTGAAACAGTTCCTTATGGAATCTGCTTCTAATATGACTCACTTGGTAATAAAGCGTAAGTGGAAAAGTGCGCTGGAAAACAGTAAGAAGGTTCCAGTCTTATTGTCATCACTTTTCTTTAAACCTTTAGGGAAGAAGGCATGTTTCACTGTGAGTTGAGTGTTTGGTGAATTTGATTGACTCGTTAACAGGCTCCCTGACTAAGCAACCTGCCTGCCAGTGCAGCACAGTTTCCACCTGAGCTGCCACATGGAAGGTGAGGCCAGGCAGGTAGTTCCCTCCTCCTCCCACCCTGTTTCAGATGGCCTGTGCCTTCTAAGGCTCCATCTCCACTTTTCTCCCTCTGCATGTGCACATGTACAGTGCAGTGCCTCTGTATCACACTGTGCCTTGTCACCAGCCCGTGGGGTGTGCCTTGGGCCTCCAGATCTCCAGCTGATGTTGATAAAGTGAACTGAAAAGTAATTCAGAGTTAGAATGTAACATAACAACCTGCCCTTCAGTTAGGGAGGCTGTGTAAAGTCAGGAACAGCAACGGCTGAAGAATAAATCCTGGTTCGGTTTTCCAGTTCCTGCTTTCTTCACTCAGAGAAGACAGTCAGTCACTTCATCCCATAGAATACAGTCTTGTCATTTCATCCCTTTGCCTGCAGAAACTCCATCTTCCCTGTGTCTATTCTGGCAAGGGACACAGGCTGAAATTCTGTTTTTTTCTCTGCGGGGTGAGATTGTAGGAATGAAATCTCATCCTTATCTCTGAAAAACAATCAGAAAAGAGGATTTAAGGATTCTTTACCTGCTCTGAGTTATATAGGGCTGAGACAACCTAACTCCTTAAATTCTGACATGATAATTAATATGAACTACCTTACCAAGGGACCACTCAAGTGTCTTACTTGATAATGAAACTTGATAATGATTTTTCTTGTCCTGAGAAAGTCTGTTCGCAGCAGTGACACTCCTGGATGAGAAGGCATTTTAACAGTGTCTAGATTACGTGTACTCTTTAAAACAGCACCTGTTGCGGAAGGAATGCTTTCATGGTCTATGATACAAAACCATATTCATTGTTTTAAGGTAGCTAATATGTTTCTGCTAATAATAAGAGCAATTAAGAATGACCGCTAAGTTTTCCAAAAGAATAATAAAAAATTATAATTTTTTTACATTTCCCTATTTTTAGCTAGTTTTTTGTTTTGGTAAAAAAGTGTTCTGCTGTTCTTGAGCTGATGTAACCTTACAATGTGAATTACTTCATTAACAGTCTGAAATAAGCTTGTTGCATGTCTAAATTCAGGCACATTTTTCTTCAAAGACCAAAACTTGCAAAAAGATGATAAATCAGTCATTTCAAACACTTGGATCTTGCCCTGGAAGTATTTCATGCCTGCTTCTGTCTTATTTGTTGTCTTGAAACAATGGTTTAAGGGGAAGAAAACATATAATTGCTCTGTAATTTCTACACTAAAATGTTTTCTTTTGAAGTAGCTCCACTTAGCATGTAAAAATACTTCTGGGTCTTAGTCAAGCATTTAGTACAATTTAAAACTGCAATACTAAATTTCATTGGTTGGACTTTTTATTAGATAAGGTAGAAATGAAATCAGCAGGCAATTTAATTAGCAGTAATTTTTCTGGGCAAGTCATTACTTTGATGAACTTCAGAGCAATGTTTATGGCTCCTAATTAACCATGTTAGTCATTTGATTGAATAATCACTTTGGAAATGTTTCTACAATTTGATTAGAGTCTGACCCACTCTGATAGTCATAAATTAACTGATAGCACTTTAGGATAACAAGACTCTAGTTACTTTACGAGAAATAAACTCTTTGTTGCTGTATTTTTTTGGTTTAAGCACAAGCTAACCATAAGATTAAGTAATGTTGGTATAAACAATACTTGCCTTAAAGAGACTCCAGATGTTAAATATAATTTACTTAGGAGCATGGGAGATGAAACCCCAACTTGGCTAAGAATACAGCTTTGTGGATGCATGCATAATTCTTTATTCAGTATACCCTGGTCTATCACTTTGCAGAAGTGGAGTTCATGAGTCAAAAAGGGCTTTGCTGCCAATACGAGAGAAGTTTTACCTAAAATAGAAAATAACATCTGTTTCAGTTCTACAGCTTCCTCTTTTTTACGTAGATTTTTCCATTCTTCTTAGAATTCAATCTACTTGCTAACATGAATGATTCCTTGCAGGTGAAACACTGCTTGTAGCCTTGACTTCTAATCTGCAGAGCTATACTTGACTGGGGTGATCACTGAGTCACTGATTCCTGTGGTTGCTCAGAATAGCTGCCTGAAACATTAGAGATTCTCTAGGCCTGAGGAGGCAGGCACCAAGCATTTTATCGAGAGAGGAGGTAGTGAAGAGTTTGGCACAGATGTGCAAGAGAGATCTTGGACTGTTAGAGGAAACCTATTATTATTACTGCCCTGTGTTTCACTTGTTTGTGAAGTCAGTGTAAAACCTCATTTTCTTATCCTGCCAAATCTTTGATACTCATCACTAGTCAGTGAACAGTGAAATTTGGAATCACAGTCTGAAAGAGTCTGTAGGCGGTGTTGGAAAAATAATGTCTGCTCTTTCGACCTCTGTTTGCATCTCTTTAAGAGTTACAAGTTACTGGTAACAGATTGCATAGCTTAGGGTAGGAGTTCATCGCAAGATCAAATAGACTTTGTTAAGCAAGACTTTTGATACCCAAGAAGTAGGTTAAACATGGTCTAGAAGGGCAAACATTTACGGTGTGTTTCTGTTTGCAAGTCCCTGTGCACAGGATTTGACTACTTGGGGACAGTGCAAGACACAGGGAAGTAAAAGAATGACATTTAAAAATACGTTTCTCGTTAGTTCTATTTGGCTTTTCTCATTCTTCCTGCAGATTTGAGTAGAGGTGGAGAATAGCAAATAAATATCAATATTGCTTAGAATATGCACAGTATTTTTTTTTGAAAGATGTTTTTGTTTTAAAATGGAGAGTTTTGTTTTAAATCCAAATGTTTTAAAATTGGTTTTGTTTTAAAGTGCAGAGTGATATAGATAGACCTAAATTTCTGGATACAATTATTAGCAACTGCAGAAAATTTCATTAACCCTTCAAGTCCTTAACCAGAGTGTAAAAAGCATTATCCTGCCCTAAATTCACTTTGACATTCCTTGTGTAAATGTAGTGTTTATAAGTCACCAGTGTGACTGGCAGTCTTTTTGGTGCAATTGATTAAAAAATTTGGGTTGAATTATCTACAAAGATAGATATACAAATACAGGGTTAAAATATTCATGGTCATTGGTGAAGGTTTTTTGGTGAATGGTCTAAAGTGTAATTGACATGGGAGTCAGCTTTTAGGAAAGTTGATTACACGAGGTTTGGAGTTCAATTGCCTATTGTAGGTAGGATCTCTTGAGCCTCACATCACGACTTTCTCCCTGGCCGTGTGTGGTGAATATGTGTGCTGCTATGAAATGCTGTGTGTGGACAGCCTCCCTCTCACTATAGCTTGCACCCTTTCGTGTTGCTCTGCTTGCAGCTTGTCCCATTGATAACCTGCACACTTTTAATTCCAGACAGTCTTTTGACTTGCATTGTCATCTTCTCCTTCCAGAAGTGCCTAGCTGCCATTCCATTTACATGAGGCAAGAAGGCTTCCTGGCTCACCCAAACAGAACAGAAGTTAAGTTTTCTATTATGTATCACTTTTGTATGAGAGAAATGTAAAAAAATTTAAAAGCCTGGGGGTATCTGGGTCTCACTGGTTTAATTCTGGGGCTGGTAAGACTTGCATCATCCTTCTTTCCCTTTTCAGTGTTCAGTTTCTGATGGCACTGAATTTTTTGTAGTTTCTTTTAGTGTCATGAGTTGATCAGGTTAGAAGCAATTATATTACGAACTTAACTCATTCTGCTTTTCAAGGCCTCTAGCAGTTGAAAGGAAGAAATGCTTAAACATTTGTTTTATTCATTCTGCTTAAGTGATATTTTCCAGGCTGTTAGCATGACAGGCTCACTTAACTGTGTTAAGTAATCCATTTTATATGTTAAATTTAGTGAAGGTTTTGGGTTTTTCCTTCTGTTATTATTTTTGCAACGGTTTGGTTCACTTTATGCCCAAATTAAGAGACAATACCAAAATTGTCAATGATTTCAGTAGGAGCCTACATAATTGCCAAAATGAATAATTCTGAGTGACAGCACTTTATATGTACGAGAGATAAGAAGTCCAACAGAACTAAGATGACTGTGAAAGAGAGGTTATAGCCTCCACTCTCCTGTTTTAGTTTATCTTAGTCTTAGCAATATATTATTTTCTTCTTGTTTGTTTAGGGTTTATTTTTTTCCAGTGGGCAAATTTCAGAAACAAGGAATCTGGTTTTGAGATTGATGAGAATCCAGATAGACATGAGAATCAAAGTCTTCGAGGAAGATTTCATTTGCTAGTGTAAAGATAGAATCAAAAAGATAACACATCTGGCTAAAATCTCATCTGCTTCTGGGTTGAAATAAAGACAGAAAAAGAAAAAAGATAGTGTTAACAAGGAAGGTAAAACAGGAGATGGAAGTTTCTAAGTCTTGTTATATAAAATTATATGAATTATGAACTGCAGGGATAAGGGCAAAAGATTTTGAGTTTTAATCATAGCACAGATAGGGAAAAACCCATCTTATCCGTGTTGCAGTCTTGTTAGGAGTTGGAGGTGGCTGAATCTTCATGAATGACGTAAAAAAGCAGTGATGTTAGCTAAATATTTGTTTTGTGTATTTGGAAATCAATCAACATAATTTTACAGAATAAAGGTCATGTCAAATCTGATTCTGTTCTTTGCTGAAAATAAAAGTTTGATTGATAAAGATGCTTGTATTGTATAGTTTGACTTTTTATGGCATTCAGTTTGCCTCTGCATTACATTCTGATTAAGAAGTTAGCACAAAGCAATATCAATAAAGTGCACATTAAATACATTAAGACCTGGCCAACTGACAGATCTAAAAGAGGCTGTCACCAGGCAATCATCTTTGAATGGATTATAGTTTGGTAGGAATTGATATCAGGAGTGTCGCTATTCAATATTTTCAGTAAAGATACGGAACAAAGTTAATAGATAACTTTATAGCACAAAGATAGAGCAGTAAATAATGGGCATGACAGGCCAATCACACAAAGCAGTTTGAATTGTTTGGTTATCTGGGCACATTTAACAAAATGTTTTTTTAATACATGAATGTAGACTAGACCTGTGGAACAGGGAAACAGTATATTGGAAAAAAGGATTTTGAGGTGGGCCTCCTCCTCAGCTTTACAGTGGGAAACCAGCCCAACTGAGCACAGTAACCCTAAGGCAAAAAGCCTTCTGTAATACTTAGGCAGTCAAAAGGAGGGTCAGAGGGCAGCAGGAGAGGAGGAAATGTTTTGTCTCACTCAGTAGCATTGGTGAAACTGATAATCAATATGCAATACAGTTCTGGTTAAGCAAAACATGAGCATAATAGGAAATAGTAGGAACGTGTACAGGAAGGTGTGCTAGAAAGGCTACTGGGCTGTAGACAATGTCTTTTAATGACAAAATAAAATATTACAAAATGATCTTAATTGAAAGGAACATCAAGAGCAGTGTGTGAGGGTGACCTGTGTGGGTGTGAGGAGGAAATACTGAGTCTTGCAGGGAGAAGACCTGCAGGAATTAATGGTTAAATGTCAAAGCTATGCTAGTTCAAACAGGAAATGAGCAAACATTTTGTAATAAATCATTGAGAGAAATGGGTGCTTTTTCATTTTAGCAGGTGGAGATAAACAGTCTTTTGGGAATGCATATGTTAATTAAACACCCTTGTACTTAGGCCAAAATGTTGGGATTGGGCGGTGTCTAAAGGATGTGGGATATTAATCTGATTCCTGTATAACTCAGTGTTCCCTCTGGCATTAAGCCTATGATCTCTTTTTTTCTACATGCATCTTTTATATAAATACCTCTCTTTCTTTAACTTACAGGCTGTATGTATGAAAAAGGACCTAGGCAGTTTTATGATGACACTTGCGTTGTTCCAGAGAAGTTTGATGGTATGTATGACACTTCTCTTTTTCCTGTGTAGGGAGATGAAAAAGAAAGAGATCAGTGTCTTTTCTCTCTTGCTGATCAAAAAATCTTGGTAATGTTCCAATTTAAGATTCCTTAACACACCATTTGTGGTGCACCCAACCAAAGCTGACCTTTGCCTCTTGAAACCAAAGTCTCTTCAACAGGATGTCATTTGACTTTTGCCAGCAAAAGATGCTGTATCCAGACTTGTAGCAGAGGAGCTCAGTTCTGTACTGTTGAGAAGTAATAAGAGGATTTCCATTGCCCTGATGTTCACATACTACTTGTTGTTTGAGATGTAATGAAAGCTGTACTTACAATTAACAAAACAGTGGAGAAAGCAGCAGCTTTGGTTTTACTGAGGACTAGGCCTCTTGTCTTGCTGTCTACAAAGTGATGAATAGTGGGAAGTGAGAATAAAGGGCATTTTTTTGTGTTTATGCCAATGTATTTGCACTAGGTTGAATGTTTTAGTGGTTTATTTTTCAGTGGGATTGATAACAAATCAATGCTCTGTTCACAACACTACCAATTACAGCAGATTTTTTTAAGAGGAATTCTGAGGTCAATTAAAATGAATGGGCCAAATTATCCTCAGTTACTCTGACGTAAAATCAGTTTCCTGGTGTAACTCAGTTGATTTCAGATTTATTTCATTAGAAGCAAAGTAGATGGACACGGTATTTCTTGCCAGTGACTCTGTTAGTCTCCAACTTTGAGAAGTAATTTAGAGACCAATTACTTAAATTTGCTAGAATGGCATTATGTTAGTGGATGCATACGAGCGTAGTGTTGTTGGTGTAGCTTTTGTGTTAGTATCTGTGTATCTGGCTTTATTTATTTCAGCAGGAAAGATTAGGTATTTTCTGATAAACTTGTGAACAAATCTTTGACCACAGCTAAAAGTAGGGCTGTAGAATTGGTGTTTTTCTCCTACTTTGTTTTGTTTGTTTTGTCCTGAAACTCATTTAGGGATTACAAAACTATTGCGTGTTTAGCAGCATTTGTTGTATTTGATGAAAATCTGGAGACTCTTGAAATGAAAGTAACCCAGAGAATTGTACATTCTTCAGAGTATCACATGTATTTTTATGTTGGTAAGAAATAGATAAAAGAGTTTTAGACAATATTAGACCTAACTGAAGACTGCTCAATCCAGTATTACATTGTTACTGCATTGACACAGTCAACGAAAGTGTTTTATTGAAAGTCTACTTTATACCCTGGCTTTGTAATGTGAGCTTGTTTGGGTTTTTAAACATTTTTTTTAAAGCACATTTTGTCAGATTTTTTTTTTGTTCCCCAGAAATTATTGTGGATCTGATCTGAGCACCAGTGTCAGATTTATGTGTACATTTATGGGAATGGGATCAGACCCTGTACTACAAGAAGTTAAAATTCGTTAACAGTAGTATTTGTCTATGTCTTCCTTGAAAAGTTTGGGTATTATACAGGAAAGGGAATGAAAATGAAAAAGAAATATAGATACAGCAAAAGAATTAAATGTTAAGAAGTATTTTTATGCCTGCAAAGCAAGCAGTCTGCTGCTAGTTTCTATGACTGCCCCTTGAGGAAACACCTTGTACTCTAGAAGATTGATCTTATGATGCAGATAGGTGTGTTTATGCTTGCAGCATGATGTTTTGAGGGAAAAATAGCAGATGTGTCATCATATTCTGGCCAATAAAGCAAAAGTTGGATAAGCCCAGGACTAGTCTTGATGTTTCAGAAGTAGATTCTCAGCTGCTTCATTTGAAATCAAAGACCAGCATAAGGAAAGAATTTCATCCTGTGTAATACTGCGCTTGCTATTTGCACATTGCACAGCTATCGTTACAAAGAAAAAACCTGTCCTTGAAAAAGAAGGACTTTCAGGACTGTAACTTGAACCTCACATAAACCAAAAAGCCTTGTGTTGATTTATTTGTTTTCCACAGCTATTGAGTCAATTTTCTTTCCTGATTACAAAAGGAAGTGCTCAGTTTTTAATATTATTATTCTGCCTTTCACTGCACAGAGCCATTCTGTAATGGCTGTCAGAGCATCCTTTGTGGTTGAATTTAAATTTCTGACTTTCCTTATTAAACAGGTCACACTGTTTATTGGAGGCTTTTGCTGTTCTGATAGTTGAAATGAGGAATTTACCAGTATATCTAGGATTGCAGTCCTTGTGTGGAGAAAAAAATACTGTCTGCTTCTGCATCAGACCTTCCAGCTGTTGTTGTTTGCATGGGTTGTTCATTATAAATATGATTTAAAAACAACAAAGACAGTATGGATGTAACAGGATTGTTTTCTCATTGGCAATTTGTGGAACAGCTAGTAGAATGTTATTGATACTTTTTAAAATGTTTTTCTAGACTTAAAATTTTAGAAAAATTAACTTATTGCTTTTCAGAGGGAATACTCATTTAATATGTAGATATGAGTAAAAGTAATTTTTGCTCATATGCAAGTCCAATAGGCCACAGAGGAACTTGTGTATCTGCAGGATTTACATGCCTATACATAAAGCACATGCTGTTTAAGTCCAAGTCAAATACTTTGTCAAATTTTCTTTAGAAGCATTTGCATGCAAGAGAAGTTTCACTCAATAGGGTTTTGCACCTTATGAAGCCTACATTACTTTACCAAAACTGGGGCCTGTGTAAAGTATAGTATACAAACACAGTTCTTCGCATATCACAGTTGCTTCGAAGATAGTTTATGTGCTTTCAAAGAGAGCATATTTCAAAATGGTTTGCAAAACATTTGCCTTTATCAAACCTATATGGGGAGAGACTTAGTGAGACTTCCATAAATCATGAATGAATTTAAGTGCTTTTTAGTATATTAATATGTTATTATAAGTCCCCAGCAAACAGGGGAATGGTGCATTTGAGGGTGGCTGATTCTTCCCGCTGTCTTTTTACCCCTAATGATTGCTTTGCCAACGTATCTGACAAACTGAGCGATGGTGTTCCCAGGCATTGCTTCTCCAGCGTTGTTGCTGTTGTGTGCAGGTGATGTCAAACAGGAGCCAGGCATGTATCGCGAAGGACCCACGTATCAACGGCGAGGCTCGCTTCAGCTCTGGCAGTTCTTGGTAGCTCTTCTGGATGACCCATCAAACTCTCACTTCATTGCATGGACTGGCCGAGGCATGGAGTTCAAGCTGATTGAGCCAGAGGAGGTGAGTTAAACAGACAGTGCCCCACATCCACTGCCCTGTCCTGAGAACTTAACTGTGCTCCTTTGGACTTAGGCCTTGTTTTCCTTCAGTATTTTGCTTCAGTAGTGCTTTAGAATGGTGACAGGAGTGGTGAGGGAAGTTCTTCAATTAGAACAGGGGTGTGGTTAAAATAGATTTGACTCCTAGTCCCACAAAATAATAAAAATGTTGCAAGTACTAGAGTTAGTAAATAGTTTGCATTAATTGTGGGGTCTACATTTTTCAGAATCACTTTGTGGACATAACTGTATCCCAAAATCCTTTGAAAAATTGTCCCTAACTAGTCTTTCAATACCAAATATTAGATTCATTAGATTGAATCATTAGATTGTTTAGTACAGGCTTAGATCCTAGGCCTGCAGATGCTCATGGACGTGCATGGCTCTTCTAAACCACGGAGTAGATAAAACTACTTATATTCATGAACATTTTCTGAAGCGTGTCTTAGTTCACTTGTGTGATAAACAGGAATAAATTGAACTGATAAACAGGAATAAACTGGACTAGGTAATGTTATGTAACCTAACCTGCATTCTTAACTATCATAGAAACTGTTGGAAGATCAAGTGTATGTAAATTTCGTAGTAAAGTTTAAGGGGAGGATTTAATTAGGGTTGTCAAAAGGCAGTATCATTCTGCTTTACTTCATTCTGCTTTACTTTTTTTACCCCTTGAATAGGGTTTTCTAACAGAGAAGACCACAGCAAATTTTCTGACAGGATCCCTTCCGAGTTAGAGCTGAGTGGGAAGGCTCGGGGGTGTATGGCTGCTTCTGCATTCCACCAGCTATTTCTGCTTTTTGCTATCTATCTTCTGGCATTAGCAGTCTGAAAGCTTTCTTGAATGTTACTTGCTTACATTGTCTGCTAGCAGCTCTGTGGAGATGCTGGAGCAGTTGGGGCTGGTGTCAGGACTGATGTCCCTTTCCTCCCGATGTTGTCTGGCTGAGGAGCAGGTTGCTGTGAGGACCCTGGTGCTGGCTCTTGTTTGTCTGAGAATCCCTTGCTCTAGTGATAGTCACTGCTGCAGATCCTGACATTGTGTATCTGAGGATGTTAACTCAGAACATTCTTAGTCAATATGATACTGAAACTTTGCTGCAAGCCTGTAGCCTTAGCAGGCTAGATAGATTCCTAGTTGTGTAACCTGTCCTGGAACAGAGCAAAAATCTTTGGAAAGTCTTTTGTTTTGTTTTGGTGAATGATGCATATGATTTTTCCCCCTACCCTAGTCTCATATTTTTTACTCTTTTAGTTTTGTCTTGTCTTTAAGGTAAGTCCAATTTCCTTCAAGATTGAAGAGTTTTATTGAGAAACGGTTTCCAGCAGATGGTGCAAAAACTTTATAGATTTTATTAACTAAGGAAAGGAAAGTAACACACTACTAAGGTTTCCTTATTGTGTAATTCCCTGAAGATCTGGATATTCTAATTTAAATTAAACAGATCATCTGCATGTCTGGCTATGTAAAAGTTGCTTTGTGTTTTTGAGCAGCATTGCATCCACGATCTGGAGGAGGCTTGAAGCTTGCCTCACTCTGTGTGTTCCTAGGAGTACAAAGGAGACTAAGTTGTTTTCATATGAATGTCATGAATCTGACAGAAAGTCAATTAAAATAAGAATAGCCTATGGGAAGTCACACAATTTTGTTGGTTGCCAAGTATAAGTTGAAGGGAAATGAAAGACCTTGTTGGTTCTGCTGTGGGAACCTTGGATGTCAGTGACATGGCCTTTCCATCCATTCCTTACTGGAGGTTTACGCCCTCATAGAAAGAGTGACAACAAAAAGGAATATGTATCGGCTTCCTGGGGTGCCACAGTTCATTCAGGAAGTAACCGTGAACTGTGGAGCCTGAGAATTGGACATAGGTCCATGTATTCAGGCTTGTCACAGAGACAGCAACCTTCACCAGGAAGGTAGGGTAGAAGGGTGGAATCCCTTCCATAGAGCAGGACTAGGTAAATGCTGTGCAGTTTGGAGATGGGAACTGGACCTGATTGCTTGTTTAGGAATCTCAAAATACCACACAATGTAACATTCTTCACCATTACTTGTTGTTTATATTTGCTGTGTATTTATTTATTTTGCAAGCCTGTTATATTGGGGACTTTTAGGACTCCGATTAATGCAGAAAAAAAAAAACTTGGAATGAATAAAAAAGGAGTGATGTGGTAATGTGTTACAAAAATCAGTAGGTGAATCAAAGTTAGACATCTAAGCCAAATCTGCAGCTGGAATAAATTTATGTGATTGGAGGTGTGTTTCAATACAGCTAAAATGTATCTGAAGTTGTCAGAGCTGTGATAATTTACATAAGCCTGAAAAGCTGCACCACTGAAAGGAAATAATGCTTTAAAAAGAAATTTTAGAAATTATTGTCCAGGTGGACACCAAAATAATAGATTTTGCTCATGGCTTGCATCAAAAAACTCCAGACACCTATGGGAAGTTTCACAGAGCAGTCTGCAGAGAAGCTGCTTGGCTACTCTGTCCTTTTTCCACAGCTGTATGTATATGCACCTCTCAATCATTTTTATAAAATGTGCTTTAAAAAGTTCATCAGTTCTGCCTTTTTTTCCCTGAGGTGATATTATAGTCATTTTTACAGACAGTAATTGAAATGTCACCAATAGCCAATTAAATTTCAGGCGAGGAATAAGAAGTTAAGTTCTTTAAACAAAGGGTCGCTTTGTCCAAAACTATCTTTAGCAATAAAACAGGAAGCATAAAGTCAAGCAGAAAACATAAGTCAGAGCAGAAGGCATATTGTTCTCTATGGAATAGTTTCATGAGTTACTTGCAATTCACTTTTTATTGTTATTTTAAAGAGAAATTATACGGCTGAAATGATGAAATTTCTGTTCCGTTCTTCATACCACCATATAGTTCTTCCAAGTGGTTATTCTGCCTCCTTAGATAATTTTTTTTTTTTTTTTTTGCTGAAGTAATGTTCAAGACTGGGAGTTGTCTTTTGACTTGTATCTCCTAATAATTGCAACATTGCCATCATTCCAAGTACAGTGTGTATTAGTTCACAAACTAAGTGTGTATGCATGTGTGTTTAAAATAACCTAACTTTTTTTCTGACAGCAAGGAAGAGACAGGCACAGTGCAATTATGAGTAGTATCAAATAGAAGAAAGGTTTTGTAAAAGTTTTCCAGTGGAACTTGCTAATGTTTTTTGTTCATCATCTCTTTGCTTGGCTTTATTTTTTCATTGATTTTCTTTATTGAAAAACAAAGAAAAACCCTAACCCTCCACCACATTGTCCGACATGTCTGTTACAAGTTTAATGATGATGTACATCTAATTAAAATTCATAGTAATACATGGAAAATTCAGGTCATGGCAACCTTTTCCTATTTGTTGCACCTGCAGGGTTTTCCCTCCTGCATCTCCAAATAAAGTATTTGTTGATAAGATCTGCTTGTTAAATGCATTTAAAAAAGCATTGCTAATCCATTTTTGTGGCAGGTGGCACGTCGCTGGGGGATTCAGAAAAACAGGCCAGCTATGAACTATGATAAACTTAGCCGATCACTTCGCTATTATTATGAAAAGGGAATCATGCAAAAGGTGAGTAGCTAATTTTGTATTACATTTCACAAGAATCTTGCATATTAATCCATAGGTCAGTTTACAAGGGGTTCTTGTAATTGCATGGCTTAGGTAGTTTTTTCATCTGTTTAGGCAAAAAAAAAGCTTTTGGACCTACTAGGTCTGGCATATGCATTAAGATATTTTTTTTTTCCTATGTAAAAAACGTCTGTGGTTTTAGTTCACACAAAGCATTTCATAATTATAAGGAAAGAAGTAGCATTCAAAAATATCCAAAAGAGCTTCCTGGCAGCTGGAAAAGGCAAACGGTAGAGTACAGTATGATTAATGTTTTGCAGCTCTAAATTATCTGCCCAGTGCTTGGGTACTTTAGTAAGTGCAAGATAGGGGAGAATAATTATGCCTATTAACATACCAAGTACATTAATATTTTTACCAGTGGTGTTGTACTAATACTGGTTTTGAATTGAATTTAATATTTATAATAGACTGAATTAGGAGAACTATTTAACAATAATTTATATATTATGGGCTAGCCTTGATGACAGTATTCAAGCCATTCTCCTACTGTGGCTTGCTGATTTTTAAATCTTGCTGTGTAGTACCATGTAGATTGACTGAGGAATCAACAGGAGAGGCCAGTCTGCTGTATCTACAAAACTGCCAGGTGTGATCAAAGATCATAATAAACACCTTGGACTGCAAAACCTTTTCCTTGTCTTTTCACATTGGTCTTGTGACCAGTGATGATGAACATGTTTAAACTTGTTATATGCCAATGCCATGAATGGAAACAGTGCTCTCAGCACTGGGCAACATTTCTGGTAGGTTTTGTGAAGTCTGAAATGTTCTCTTTCTTAGATTGTGGGATTGTTGTAGTGCACTCCTTTTTCACTGCTAGTAGTCGACTGGGACAACAATCTGGGCTAGTATTGGCTTACAGTTCTTCAGTAGCTCAGCACCTCATCTATTTTTGTGTGTCACGTAACTGTGCGTAGAGTCTTTGTAAAGTGGATAGGAGACTGGGTCCGATCAGGGAGAAGCAGAATTGCTTGGTTTTGCTGACTGATGCTTCAGGCAGAGGAGTTCCTTGTTGCAGGTCACCGCTCAGCAGCATAGGCATCTGTGCTGCCAGCACACTCCAAAGGCAGCAGAGGCAAAAAAAAAAATGTAGCAGAGTGAAGCAAGTTGAAAAGGTGGGGATAGAAATACCAGAAGGCTGATAATGCTGCCCCAACCCACACATCCATTTGATGTGGAAACCTTACAAGTACTTTGGACAGGTAGCTTGCTATATCCTAAACTACTACTTTATTATCTACAAGAATGTGTTTAACGCATGTTTTGAAAGCTAACTTGTATGCTTATTTTTCTGACATAGCAATGTTTCAGGTTTGTCCTGGGATCATTCTTATCTGGCCTGTTCATGTATGCTAAAAACTAATGCGGATTGTAGATGTGTGCATATTTTCCCTCCTTTTTTTAAATCAACAATGATAGCAGGTTACGCAAAAGCCTAATTTTGCAGGCTTTTGCATAACCTGCAAGCAAACTCTAGTCTATCAAACTTGCTGACATTGATTTGATTTTTAAAATTCTGCTGCAGATACAGTCTCTACCAAATTCTATTTGTATAATAAATAAACTGAAAATTTAAGGAAGTGCTGGAAACTACTTTGCACCCATAAGAAGAGAGTTGTTAAGTTTGCAACACCTTTTCCTTCTTCACTAACTCGCTTCATTGCTATGGTAGCTAGAGTTGCAAGAAGCAGACAATATGATTTTATTTTAAAATCATTTTAATAAATTGTGAGCATGCAATCTAATGCATATTTTTAAGCACAATTTTTTAAATAAGGTACTTGAGAAGACACTATATTGACTTCTGTTTGTTGCTTGTAATAATACAGCAATTTTGTGTTGTTTTTATCATTCTCTAGCTTTTAGGAAATTGAAGCATAGACATTTAAGGCTGTTTCTGATTAAGGGAAAACCTTAGGATCTTTGGACAAATTGCCCCTCCATAAGCAAATCCAAATGTCCCAGCTTTGCATGACCAATTGCTAAGTACATATTAGCCTACGTATTTGCTTACGCTGTCCCTGTACAGTCAGCAGGCACTATAACTAAAGATCTTTTATACGTAAGCATGAATCAATCTGTGTAAAGTGAAATCCAGATCTCTGCTGTGCAATGTGATTCTTTTTTCCACTTCGCACATGGAGTGTGTAATTTTATTTTGCCACTGTAGTGACAATTTGTTTACATTTTCCAATAAGAGCAGTTCCATTTGTGGTTAAGTATAGGAAATGATCGCAAACAAATGTTTAGATGCAGAATACTTAGTTAATCTTCCAACAGGATGTCATGAGTGGCAAAATCAAGAGCATTCTGCACAGTCTGCTTTGGCAGGTCCCACTTGTCTTTGGTATGTTGTTATCTTACCAGTTCTGCTGTCATGTTATTAATTGTGTTAGAAAGGCGAGTTCTCTACAAGACTGTTGAACTTGGAGATGCAAAACATGAGGCCTTATACTGTACTTTTTTCCCCCCCTCTGTTATCCTAAGGTGGCTGGAGAAAGATACGTCTACAAGTTTGTTTGTGACCCTGAAGCGCTTTTCTCCATGGCTTTTCCCGACAACCAGCGCCCCTTACTGAAGACTGACATGGAGCGCCACATCAATGAGGAGGACACTGTGCCTCTGTCCCACTTTGATGAGAGCATGGTCTACATGCAGGATGGAGGCTGCTGCAACACCCACCCCTATAACGAAGGCTATGTCTATTAACAACAGTGACACTGAAGGGGTGTTTCCCCCTCCCTTAAGCTTCTCCTCTTTCCCAAGACCCAGAGGAAAGCTGAATCGACTTCAGTTTGTTTTTTAAATAGTACACTAAAAGGGGCTTTTCCTGTTGCATTACTCCTATGGTCTGCCATGGACAGCGCACTTTATTTGAAAGGGGAGGGTTGGAACCTAAACGTTATTCTGTGTAAAAGGAGGAAAAGGGTGGGTTTGCTTTTTACTTAAGTTTGGGAAGGGAACATACAGGTTTTAAGTACAAAAAAAAGCTATATCATGTCTGTTTTGTTTCATATCAGCATAAGATATTGTACATTTTCTCTGGGTATCCGTAGTACAGTTAATTCTCATTGTGCAAAATAACCACTTTTGATGATGATATCAGCACAGCATGCCTAGGGCATTTATTTCTTGCCATTCCTAATTGTCTTTCTGCAGTAATAAAAGAGAAGCAAAGCATACACCACAGCATTTAATTTAGAAGTTTCCAGTGGCAGACCTTGTACCTTGCCTCTGTGAACAACTAGATAGTTTTCCTATTTCCTAATTTTTTTCCTTTTATTTTTCTTTCTTTTTCTATTTCTTTTTTTTTTTCTTTTTTTTTTTTTTTTTTGGTGTATGACTTTAAAAAAATCCGATTTAATGACAGACTGGCCATAAGTACAGTGACGAAGCAGTGAAATCCCTGACTTTAGACTGCAAGCTGCATGCTGTATCTGGTGCCACATTGTTATACATATATGGCCCATGCTATGGTGTTGATTTTTCAAGATCCATTTGATGGTAGTGATTACATGGAGTAGGCTTTCTGATGATCATGTCAGCATTAAATACAGGAGCATGATCAGGAGGGAGAAAACATTTTGTATCCTTCCATTTCCTTTGGTACATAAATAAGTTATTTAATCAATAGGAATTAACTGTACTAAGTCACATATCTAATTATGCTGTTTAGACACAGCAAGCACTCCTTGAGAAAAATATCCAATACACTAAATAGGTACTTTAGTAATTTTTAGACACGGTACCCATTAATATGCATTTAAACCTTTTACTGCTGTGTTATGTTGATAACATATATAAATACTAGATAATGCTAATGCTTCTGCTGCTGTCTTTTTCTGTAATATTCTCTTTGATGCTGAATTTACTATGACCATTTATAAGCAATGCTGTAGCTACAGGTAGCATTTCAGGACAAAATAGATGACTTGAACCATTTATTGCTTAGAAAATAGCTTACGCCATAGCTGTGCTATAAGCAGCTTTTATGCGCATCCACAAATGACTAGTAAGCTTCAGCTTGCTAAGGAAAGCTCTGCAGAACCTTTTGTAATTTTTGGTGGAACAGAGATGAACTGTCAAAGAATACCATGAAGTTGCTGTATGACGTTGTAGTGCTGGCACTGGTGTTACCAATCAACTTGTTTTGGACACTAAATGTAAATGTAATCGGATATGCTCGGAAGACAATTTAAATTTTGAGGGTTTTTTTGTTGTTTTGTTATTTTTTCAAATTGTTTCATTTTTGAGAGGGGTTACCTTGAACACAAACCACACGTACTATTCTGTATGTAAAATGAAAACAAAAGGCAGCAAACCCCCAAAATTTTAAAATATTTATGAGCACCTTTTTTGAAATAAAATAATTCATAAGTTGAAGGGGTGGAGAGGGAGCTAAAAATTGGATTTCATTTTTTGCCCAGTGAAATTGAAATAGTTGTTATATGAAGTTCTACATTTTCCTGTGAAATTGAAATAGTTGTTATATGAAGTTCTTCATTTTCCTAGATTGTCAAGAAGTGGGAGAAAAATAAATACATAACCATAAAAAGACAAGAATAACTTCCATCATAATGGATGGATTTCAAAGATAGTCCTAGGTGATGGGTTAATCTTCCATCCTTTGTCAGTTAAGACACTACTTAAGTTATGAATATTTTAATACACATTTAATCAAAAGTAAAGAAGTAGTGGTCACTAGAAACCACAGGTGCATAAAAAGCATTTGGGCAAGTATTTAATTTACGCAGATATCCATGAGACAACATATTTTATGATACATGCCTTAGTATGCCACCTAATTCTGTCATCCATAGGTCTCAATGGCACTTAAATACTTGGTGATCAACTGAGAAAAAGAAGTCTAAAATTGCAAGACTAGCAAAAAGGAAAGGGAAAATGTTGAGTAATACTGTTTAAAAACAAATGTGGTTTCCACTGAAATAAGGTTCAAATGAAACATGCTTTGATGAAAAGTCCTTGGATTGGTTTTGGTTCTTTAATTCAGCACAGAGCGCCTCTTGACTGTGGCAGGATGTGGGTATTTGGGAAAGGGGTTGGACAAAAAAAGGAAAAAAAGAAAAGATTTAAAAATTGCATCGAATGTGTAATATTTAAGAAGAAATATATATATATATATGTATATGGTAGTGACTCACTGAACAAAACAAGCAGTCAGACCAACATTACATGATCTCTCAGCAGAAGACAAAGGTCTTTCACTGAACTTATTAACCCTTTTAAAAATGTACCTAAGAGTTATTTAAAGTCTATTTTTATTCCACTTTTTTGTTTGTTTGGGGTTGGAGGTTTTTTTTGTTTTGTTTTGTTTGGGGGTTTTCAGGTAGAATAATAAATCTGGCAGCTGATTTCTGCAAGATTGTTGTGTATTGGATTCCTAACCACTTGAATTGGAGAGGCCTCTGCAGAAAGGTTATTCTTTTGGAAGAGGAGAGAATGATCTGTCCCCAGTGTCTAGAATGGCTTACTTCAAAGTGTAAAAAATAAAAACAGAAAAGAAAAAAAAAGAAAAAGAAAAATGAAAAAAAAGAACAGTGAAAAAAATGGTGGAGTATGTACAATTCATGTGTATATATATATGAGTTCTAGCCAGGAGTTAGATTACCAAAGCAATGTATTTGGCTGACAAAGGAGAGGAGGATGGTCTATGTATATTTTGGGATTGATTCCTACTAAGAACACTTACACATTTTCAGAGGGCATTTTAATACCCTCCTGGATTTGAACGCGGGATGTTTGGGCTGGGGTAAGGGGGCTGGGTTTTTATTTGGTTGCTTTGGGGATATTTTAGTTTTGTTTCCAAGCTGTACCACAAGTGGAGGGAATATGCAGCTTTCACCTGTTTCTAGAAGGAGCTGTGATAGAATGTGTTTGTCTCGGTTTGCTTGTCTGTCTCTGAGCTGGGCAGAGCATTGGGGCAGACAGGGTAGAGGTGCTGTGAAGCAAAGTTGGGAGGCATCGCTGGAAAGACCCAGCATGGTGGAACAGGTGAAGGGGCTCAGCTTTCATGTGCTATCACAAATCCACCTGCACCAATAGCTGAACACAGGTGAAGTTAGTGAAGGACTTGGCAGATTCCCTCAGAATCCATTTGAGAGAGTTAACTAGTTTAGGATAATTACTTTTTCTTTAGGGATACAACTTGCATGGCAAAGAGTCTGCCCTTTTCTCTCCAAGGTTACTCCAGTCTTTCTTACATTTACAGCCTTAACATTATATTCACTGAGAAAGGAAATTTCATCTGCTTCTCAGACCAAATCTGCTTGCTGTCCTGAGCCTGGTGAGGTTACCAGGGGAAGCTGGGATACATAAATGCTTTTCTCTAGAAATTCCCTGCAAAGACCCCTTTGCTCAGAATCTTTGCATCTTTGGAATTGTCTGCTACACGGAACTATTCCCCAGGGATTAATGCTTAGAGTTTTATTGCCCTTGACATCTGACTGGGTTGGGCTTCAAGTCCATTTTCACAGGACAATATCATCTTATGAAATATTTTTGCCTTCTTTGTGGTTTTTTTGTTTGGTTGGTTTTTAATAGCAGGAAACAGATCAATGTGTACAAAAGGTATTATGAGGAAATCTTTGAGTTGTTAATGGCTCTACTTTCTCCTCTGAAGAGCATTAGCTTCAGTTCATGTATTACAGGTAATAGCACCCATAAACAGCCCTATTCAGTGGTCACATTAATAGTACTAAGGACTTTTCAAAATAGTCTTTTTCAAAAAATTTTTTGGGAGTCTTAATTAATATGGTATGTTATGCTCTCAGAATCATCATTTTGGAATATTCCACTAACATAAGACCCTGGGATCTAGTAATATGAGCCTCAGATATTAATTTCTCAGCTCTCTGCTTATCTGAGGGTTTTTCAGTTGTGTGTTTGAGTTTTTGGGTTTTTTTGTGGGTTGTTTGGTTTGGTTTGGTTTGGTTTTTGGTGTTTTTTTTCTGATGATGTTGCTTTGGTTTGGTTTCATATTGGAGGCTACTCTGCTTGGAAAGGAGGTAGCAGCTGAGAGCAGGTGCCTCTGCATCAGAAACCGCAGTTCAAAGTCCACTGCATTTTGCTAAGCTACCAGGCTGAGAACTAGAGTATCTGCAATACAGCACTGAGCCCTCCCCTCCCTGTGCTTTTACAGAAGAGGGGACAAGAGTGCACTGTCTTTGTTTTTTCTGCTACAAGAGCAGTAATATCTTGGAGAGCAGCAGGATGGATAGCTAGGGGCAGTAGCATTTTAAAACTGTGGGGTTACCCAGGTCTGTCCCTTACCCCCCAGCTTACATGATTGTATAGGTAGGTAAAGTTCAGTCTGCAGGAGGCTGAAATATTGGTTTCCTCCGTGAACCAGTGTAATTTCTATGGGAAGAAAATACCTGTGCCATCTTCTTATGTAATAGTCTGAAAATGTCTATGAAGTACCTTGTTGACATTTTCCCAAAGAACTTTTTTTTGTGTGAAAATGCCACAATGCACATCACCAAAAGAAAGGGTAAATAAACTCTAAGAAGTAAACCATACATCAGGCTCTCCAAAGCTATAGTAGTATTTGCTGTAGCAATATATCATGTCTTCAATACTGCTGTATTGTCCTTATTACATAGTTTCATTGGGCTGACCTCAAAAAATACTCAGTGTACCTTGAAATTTTGTTCGTTTTAAATGAGCTTTTAAATGAGTTACAGGAAGGTAACCCTGAGGCAGGGTTACAATCAAGCTTTTGGATCTGGTAAGCTATAACTCTGTGTCTTTGTCTTTGCTCTAACAAAGCTCTGTGGGCACATATGCCCATATAAATGCTTTTTAGTTGTGTGGTAGAGAGAAAATTACAGCCACTGGCTGGATTTGCGGGGTGAGGTGGTTTGGTAGTTTTTGAGTATCTATGTATGACTGGCTTTGTTTCAGAAGGAATGTCTATGTGTATTACTTTCCACAGTTACTTTCCAAGTAACCAGGTAGAGAATTGGTGTCCAAAATAGCTATTTTGCTGTGTAATTTACAGTAGAGGCTATGGTATTTCCTTGCTGCTGTCCAAAAAAGGAAAGGCTTGAGGAGATTTCACCATTTTCTTTTTCCCTTCCTTCAGTGAGGACCCAGCTGATCTATCTGAGGATAGTTTAAGCCAATTCTTCACTCACCCATGATATTTTAGTGAACAATCTCCTCATCAGTACAGTGGCACCTGGTAGAACCTCAGGTACAGAATGTTGAGTATTTTAGATGTACTGCAAAGGGCTTTCTGTGGTGGCTTTCAGGCAAAATCTTGCATGGGCAGTGGCATATGGCTACAGTACCTCAACAGAGGCAGAGAGATTTTTTGCAGAGGCACCAGCTCCTCAGAGCTTGAGACATTGCTGAAATATTCGGCTTAGGCTGATTCCTGGCCAGCCAAGTTGAGTCTGCCCTGGAAGACCTGGCGAGGAACTCCATGTGTATGTAGAAGACCAGAGGGAGCATGATCCCAGCACGCTTGAGTGAGGAAGCACAGAGATGGGAAAAAGTCTGTCAGGAGCAATCTGGCTCTACCAAGCGGCTATTCCAGAGTTGATTAGTACAGGAAGAAGGAGGTTATATGACCGATACAGTAAATCACAAAGATAATTATTTGAATGACATGCTGCAGGAGAATCATAAGAAATTATGGAAAGTAATAAACTCTGTAAACAGCAGTGATTTTTTAAGACCCTGGTGCTTCAGGAAAAGGAAGAGAGAAAGTAAAACACAGAAAGGGATGATAATATTAGATGAGAACAACAGGAGTGAAACCATAAGCTGCATTAAGGGACTTGGAAGATTGCAGTGTTTTAGATAAAAGGAAGGGACTAAGATAAGTGCAGAGTCAGTACACTGAGATAAGAGCGAGAGAGAAAAGGTAATTTGAGGCAGTGCACTTTGTGGTCAGTGGGCCAAATGTGTTAGGCTCAGAGCTGCACTGGAGGTGTGTCTGGCCCTGGTAGCATATCCTCAAGGACAGGAGTATCAATTCTGACTTTGGAGTGATTGTTGATTATTTAGTAAAATAATCTGCACAGTTGGTAGTTGTTTAAAAAAAGATACTGGAATATGCAGAGTGTTTGGGCTGTAAATGTAATGTCTTTTTCATCCCACTATACTAAAAAACAAAAAACAAACAAAAAAAAAAAACAAACAACAAAAAAAAACCAAAAAATCCACAAACACAAAAGAAGAAAGAATACCTTTCAGGATAATGGGGCAGATTGTGGGTTGGTATAACTCAGCTTGGTTTCCTTGAAGTCAGCTATGTAGCTTTATGTTAACAGAGACTATAGCCTGTGTTTGGTAATGTGTATGCCTGTCTAGCATAGTATATACACAGGACTTTATTACTTGTTGCATTATTCAGAAAGATACACAAATGATCAAGACCTGGGGCATAGCATGAGGCCAACAATAAAACATGAAATTAAACAAAAGTACATGCCTTCTGAATTCTACTGATGTAGACAAGTCATTCCACTTTTGTATAAAGCTCTCTGAATGAGCTCTATACACACCTGTAATGCTTGTAATTAACTTTTCTGACCAATGCTGGCAGACTGTGTGCCGGAGTGTCTGCTCCCGGTGGCTCAGCATTAGTCTCTACAAAGGTACCTGGGATCTGTAGGGTCAGGCTGCTTGCCCAGCTTGTCACAAAGACCAGTGTGACCATTTACAAATCTTAAGGTCTGCACTAAGCTTCCAGCCATTCTCTATATTAGCAAAAATCAGGTTTATTGCAGATTTAACCAGAAAGGCTAGACTAGCAAAGGAATATACCTTTGGCTACAGATGACTTGGACATACCTGGACATGATTATTTGAAATGAAGACACACATTTTTATTGCTACAAGGCAGTTCTGTGTATGGCATTTTGTTTTTGTCCTCTAACTGAACTGAAAAGGAGGTAACACAACTAACTTAAAATAGTTTGGATTTTTTACACTAAATTGCAAAGGCCTATGCATGATTACATACAATGCTGCTGACATTGGGGTTGGAGTTATTTTTAAAGGGAAAAGAGAAATATTGCTGCATTTATGTTTAGCTGGGAACTGTATGTCTTCCAACAAAGAAGAAGTGAAAAAAAATCAAGAATAATATTTGACCAATTAGTGAGTAATACTCATTTTATATCCCTACCACTAACACCTAACTTTTCACTTCCCTTTTCATGAAGGGTTGAAGCAGGGCTAAGAATTTATAACCCCCAAAAGTAAGGAGAAACACGCTTATAAATGTCTTTGAATTCTCATATTGCCTCTAAATTTATATAATACCATATTCCATAATGCTCTGAGTTCCAGCCTCAACAGACAACATTAAGCAGTACGTATTGTAATTTCATTAGACTTGGTCTCTTCC